ACTGTGCCGAACGGAGCCACGCGCATGGCAAGGTTAGAAACTGGAAGGCAAAGGGGAGGTGAAGTGTATTGGTGGCTCTCACACCATTTTAGTGCCTGCTTCATGGGGTTTCTTTCCTGATGTGCCTTTGAAGTGCTGGAGCTTGACTGTGTGGCATCTCTGCTTCTTCAGCCAGCAAAGCATCGTTGCTTGGGCTGGAAGAGAAAGGAGGAGGCTGTCACAGCCTCTGTGGGTGTCAGAGCTGCTATTGTGGGCTGGAGCTTGTGCAAGGTTTCAGCACTGCAGACAGGCTTGACACCCTCTGCAGAGCACCCCAAAGCCTCTGCTGTGACCCCAGCCCTGCTGCTGGCTCGTGCTGGGGTACTGCCTCCTATGGCAGCTTTCCTCCGATGCTCCCCATAGCAATGTTCCCATTTGGGAAGCAGAAGGATGGTCCCCGAGGTCATTACAGCACTGGATGCAGAGAGGGGCAGAGATACGCCCCAGACCTCACTTCAGGCAGGGGACAGGAAGCATTATTCTCCATGCCTGGAGATGCCTGGGGATCCCCAGGACCTGCTGCCATATCCATTTCAAAGGGGCAGCCCATCCCTCACCATCCCTTGGGATAAGGGCTGCACTATTGCCAGGCTTGCAGGTGATGCTTCCAGCCTAGGCCTGGGACTATTGTGGTGATTTCACTTAGTCTAAACTTCTTCTGACTGCCCATTCCCCCTCCTAATCAGATCCAGACTGCCCTGTCAAGGCATGAGCTTGTATCTCCTTATGGCAGCATGGCCATGGTGGGCCTTGGAGATGCTGGTACCAAAAAAGTGTTCCCTGGAGACTCCTGCTTTGTATATAACTCTGGTCCCTAACAGCTTCATTGCAACTGTGCACCCACCTTAGGGAGCAGAGACTTAGTTCCACTTCAGCAAGACAGAAAATAGGCAAGAAGGCAAGCAGAACCCCAGTGCTCTTGGATAAAAGAACATTAATGCCATTAATACCCAGCAATCAGAATTTCTTAGAGAGAGAACAGTGCTGCATCCCTTCCCTCCTGCTCATCCCCTGCTTGTTTAATGAAAATCAGAGACAGCCATTAAAGAGCTGCTTAGCATTTCAATACATTTAATATCCTCACTGATAAGGGAACGATGGATATTACCAAAAGGCCTTTCTTAAACTCTCCCCTTCTGCAGCCGGTGCTCCTGGTTTGTGTTTGTCTCGATTCCAGCTCCAAACCATCTCCTTCAACAAGGAAAAATTATGATAAGGTTATATTTTTTAATATAAAGGATATTAATACACAGCGTTTCTGATAATGACAAGGAGGAGAGGCATGCCAGGCCTCCCAGCCTTGACCTGAATCAATCGGGTGCTGATTGCTTGGCTGGCCAAGAGCCTCACACAGTCCTACCTCGTCACAAGTGATGCCAAGGGCTCAGCCTCCCCACTGGCACCGGTGCAGCATGAGGAACTCTGATGTACCAGATGAACTGTTATATTGACGTAGATAACTTGCTGGCATGGTTATATATTAGATGCCAGTTCAAGGGGCTGTCCCCTTGCGTTGTTACATGGGGTACACTGGAGTTCACCCCAGAATTACCTCCAACAGGTCAGGCTGGGGCACCAAATGCAAGTTTTGCTGGTGGATGCCACAGCCATGTGAAAGTGCAGGGGAGGATGTACCCCTGAATGGGTCCTGGACCCCCATCCTATCCTGCTACCCCCAGAGCTTTGCTGGGGAGCCCAGGGCATGGGGGGGAAGCCAACAGGTACCTGGCTTGTTTAATCACAGTTTTAAAAGGTCCTTGGATTCAGGGCTGTTATCTGTGCAAGACATGGAGGGGGTATTGTGCATGGCCATCTGTGGGGGGGAAGCCCCACTGGGACCCCTATCCCCCACCTTCAGGGGGGCACTGCTTTGCCAGGAGGATTCTGAATCTCTTTGCAACGTTGGCTGTGCTTGGGAACACACTCATCCTCATCCTCATCCTCATCCTCATCCGCATCCTCATCCTCATCCATCTTCATCCTCATCCTCATCCATCTTCATCCTCATCCTCATCCATCTTCATCCTCATCCTCATCCCCATCCTCATCCATCTTCATCCTCATCCTCCCACAAACACCTTGTGAGTGGGACAGGGATGCACATTGGGCTTGGAAGAGAGCATCCACACCCCATCATGTCTCTGCACTCCTCCTTCTGGGAAAGGGATGTACAGCAGCGGACAGATGGATGGACAGGCATCGGGGGGGCTACAGCGACCGGCAGCATGGCTCTGCTCCCTGCCCTGGGCACCCCCTTCTGCAGGGATTGGAGGGGGGTCCTGGAGATGGTGACATTCCCTTAATGACTGCCACCAGCCCTGACCCGGGGATGCCCGGCCCTGCAAATACTACAGGAGAGCAGAAGTGCCTGGACATTGCTTTGCTGGCTCCAGGAGGAGCAGGGACAGCGGAGGCGAGCAGAGCTTCCTTCCTTGCTAGCCCAGGCACAGATTTGCTCTTTGCAAGGCTGCGATGAGTGATCATGGGTGCAAAGGTGGGTGAGAAGGGCAACAGCCACTTAGGTCTGAGCTGCTGAGTTAGTGAGGAGGTAAATGCACATTGAGCTGGGCCGTGCTAAAAGGGGGTATAGAGAGGCTTGGCTCCCTTCCTTTGCTGATCCTCGCTGTCTGAGCTGTGCTTTCCTTTCCCTGCAGCATCTATAAATATCCTCCCCATCTCCGTTTGTGGCTCCTGCGATACCCTGTGACGGCGTCCACGGCTGGATCCTGGTATGGAAAAGATCCACATTTCCAGACAGGAGCATCCCAGGCTTCTCAGTAAGTGTTCATACCCTGTACCAGCATGCACACTGACAGTTCCCAGCCTCCAGGCACCTGCACCCATCATCCACACGAGGCACATCCTGACCACAAAATCAAGTGTCCAGTGAAACCACCTGCCCAGCGTGTGTGCTCTGCACTACAACACGCAGCTCTCACCGAGTCACCACAGTCCTCCACCAAGGCTCAGCACCCTGCTGCACTCACCACTGCATGCAGGGACCCCAGTACATATCATCCTCTCACACCAAAACCAACTGTATCTGAGAGGCCTCCCCTTCCCTGGGAGGGATTTGGGGAACACTAGTCTGGTGTCACTGTGTCCTTGCTCCTGCATAGCCCCCTTTACATTCTAACAGTGCCCAACCACTGCAGCTTCTCTGGGCTGCAAAGCCAAAAGCTGTGGGGAGGTGCAATACCTGGTAGCCCTGGGCACCTTTGCGAGGCTTGGAGGACCCATGGTCCTGGGACTGTGTTGGAGGTCTGCAAGGTTAACCCCTTGTATTAGAGCATCGCACGCAGCAGGCATCATTTACCACTGCAAAGCCAAGGCTGGCTTCTGCTTCCCCAGAGATTCATTTCCAGAGCTTGGGACTGAGGTTGTGGCAGTGTGGATGGTGTCCCTCTGGCATGCTTGGGCATTGGGTGGCGAAGAGCTGAGGGATCCAGCACTGAGCTGTGACAAGTCCTTTGAGCACAAGGAGATTGAGGGGTTGGAGTAGCAATGCAATAGCTGGCAGATCATCAGCTCTCCCACCGGGTGCAGGTGGGAGATCCCATCATGGCATCACCCTTGGCCTGACAGCACCACTCACCCTCTGCCAGATGCCTTGGGAACTGCTGATCCCCCCCCCCCTAAACCATGGCTGTGTCACTGCTCTGGAAGCCCATCCCATGATACCACTGATGACAGGATCTCTCCAGCGCTGTCTCTGATAGACGGCTTCCCAGGCAGGCAGAGCAAAAAACCTGGAGGGATCTGCTACGCTGAGCTGTTCCCAGGTCCTGGTGATGAGTGGTGCAGACACATCCCTGCAGGCACAGCCCTCATCCGTTCTGAATGGGGAATTGTTGCGAGACAGGCAGGGAGCCCCTCTCACTCCAGCACGTAGGAAGCTGCTGACAGCACTGTGGGATACTCCAACATGGGGTCCAGCATCTCCAGGGAGCACACTGGGATGCAGGGCAGGATGGAGGGTGTGAGACACTCCCCTCCTTCCCAAGCCCACTGAGTGAGCTTCATTCAAGGGATGAACAGTCAACAGAGCAGGATGCCTGTCCTTCCTCACATGCCTTTTCCTGGGGTGATTGCTGAGGGCAGGGGAGGGCTGCGATCACACATGGGTCCTTTGGCCAGGAGCACACGGAAGAGCGAATAACCCCACTGCAAGAGTCAGCATCTGTGATTACCACGGGCAGGTATTAGCGGTTGTTCAGCATTTAAATGGGGAAACGGTCACGGCCACTGCAGGGGGTCTGTTGACAGATGCTGAGTGTTTAATGCTGAACAAGGTACTCACCTGACTCAACAACTGTGGCAGCTCTGAGCAAGTGGGATGCAGGGGTTTCCTTGGAAGGGCTGTGGGGCGGATGCTCTGTGCTCCCCAGGCAGCTGAGTGTACCGGTTGCAGTGCACCCTGCCCCGTGCGTGGCCTTGCCCAACCTGGGACAGCCGCTGCATCCTCCTAAGCTCTGCTTTTAAAGGGTTTGGCCCTCTTTCAGGCAGCCAACGTGGCTGTAAATGGCTTGGATGTCACCAGCCCTGGCCGTGCTGTCCCCTGCTCCCACTGCCCCAGCTCAGGGGTGAGCAGGGAGTGTCTGTCCCAGGATGGTGCGGCACGATGGGGTGTGTGGGGTGTCTGCCTACCTCTTCTGGCCCCAGACATACAAGAGGAGCATGTGCGGGGGATTTTCCTCCCTGTGCACAGCGGGACTGGGGGGGGGTAACCCCATCCCCTTCACTCCTGACCCCGATTGAGTGCAAACTCCCCTCCGGGCCACGGCTCAGGCTGCAAGTTTGTCTCTTGCAGACGGGAACAGCGAAGAGCAGTGGGGAGCACCAGAAGCGGTGGGGGCCGGGAGGACGGACGGACGGACGGACGGACGGATGGGTGGCAGCGGGGAGCAGGAGCCCGCCGTCCGGATGCTGGGGCTGGGTACAGCGAACGCGTGTGTTGCGGGAAGGGGGGGCTCGCTGCAGAGCCCACCCAGCCCATTGGCTTGCGAGCCGTGACAGGCAGGCAGCTCCCTCCCCGCCAGCGCTGCCTGTGTGGATGTGAGCAATGTGCGCAAAGTGCCTTCGCATTAGCCCCGTTGAGTGCCGTAGCGCCGGGCGCTCGCTCGCAGAGGTGCTGGCACAACCGAGGTGGCCCTGTCCCGTGCCTGGTGGCACTGCCGGACCATGGCATGGGCACAGGGGGACCTGACATCCTCACTCTCCATCGTCATCGCTTTGGCTGCCTGCCTCTCTGCCACCACCAGCGAAGGTAGGAACCGGGGCGGCCCTGGAGCGACAGGGCAGTGTTGGGGGGACCCGCAGGATCACTGCGGTTGGTTGGATGTGTCCGCATGGGCTTCACTTCTCTGTATTCCCAAGCGGGGCACGGCTCCAGGTTCCTGCCTGCTTGAGTTTGCTGATCCTGGAGCTTTTGCACCAGAGGCTAAACTTCGGAGCTGGGCAGGAGGACTTGATTCCTGCAGCAGCGCTGCCAGCTCTGGCCTCCCTTCAAGGGCTCTGCTGCAGCGTGCGAGGGTGGCTGCAGTGGGGACACAGGCGTCACCTCAGCCACGGCAATCCCCATCACCAGAGCTGGCAGCAGCACGGGGCTGTGCTTGCTGGTACGGAGCAAACGGGTGGGATGTGGGGAGCTGGGAGGGCAATTTGGTGGGAAACTTGTCACGAGGGAAAGGGCTGGAAACTTCCGAAGTGGAAAGCAGGGATGCAGCCAGGGACCCTCTCCTGACAGCTCGGTGTCAGCAGTGTTAGGCCTGCTCCCTCTGCCTGGCCACGCTGCTGCAGCTGCGCTCAACCTCCTCGGCAGTGCCACCCTGCTCCGGTGTCCCCCCTTGGCATCGGGAGTGCTGCTGACACCCACCCGCTCGCCTGCCTCCTCCTACACTGGCAGTGGCAGCACGGCTGCTTCCTGGGTCTGCTGATCATCATCACCCGGAGATCTGCCGTTCCTGCTCCCAAGCGTGTCCTTGGCACCGGCAGTAGCATCCTTCCTTCCTCCCTTCTGCTACACCTGAGAGCCACGGCCAGCACAGCACATCCCTCTGCAGCGAGCCCCCGTGCTGCTGTCCCTGCCCGGTGGTGGCAGTGGCATCTCTCCCCTTCTCCTGCCTCTGCATCCCTGCCATCCTTTCGGCATGCCGAGGCCCACGGACTGGCACTGTGATGCCTCACACACTTTGCAGCACCCACTGTGCCGGGTCGTTGTGCCTGCTGCCATCTCGCATTACCCACCATACCTCCCCTCCCACCAGCCTATCTTCCTCTCCAGTATCAGCCATTTCCAGCTATTCTGGTCCTAACCCTGTTTTCTGCCCGCTGCCCGCTTCCTGGCACTCCTCCTGTTCCTTTCCTCACTGCTTTCCTGTCCTTGACGGGGATTCACTGGTGTCTCTCTGCTGAGGATGGGCTGTGTGGGTGCCGGATAGGACCCCAGCATCCTGATACCCCAGCCCTTGCCGCCCTGTGCCCAGGGCAGGGTGCAGTGCAGGATGCTGCCTGTGCTGCCGGTGGCTCTAGGTGCTGCAGCCCTACAAAGCCAAGCAGCTCTGGTAACCCTGGGCATGGACAAGTGATGCTGAGGCCCCTTTGCTTTCCTCTGTGAAGGAGATTGCTGGCTGCTGCATTGGGTTTTATAGTGTGTGTATGGAGATCCAGGCCTGGACTGCTACCTGCCTCTTCCCAGCTGGGAAAGACCTGGGTTTCCTGCAAGACTTTTTGGAAAGGAAAGCTGGTCTCAGTAACAGCCTCGGTCAGGGGGATACATGGGGCTGGGGATAAGCTGGGCCCTGCTGAAGATCAAGCAGGCAAGACCTAGGTTAGACCAGGTGGAAGGTGCTGGGTGGCATCAGGACAAAGTGTGGGATCCTGCAGGACGATGGTGGTGGCCCCGTCCACTCACAAGGTTGGTTGTGTCTCCAAGGGTACTGGGGCTGATCAGTGCCAGCCATGCGCTGCAATCTGGGCAGTGGAGTGGGGATGTGGCTGCAGGCTCCTGTGAGCATCCAGCACCCCAGGGTGCTGCGCTGTGCTCATGGCACTGCCCATGCTGTGCCAGTTGTTGAGTGCCCTGGTACAAGGATGGGACTAGAAGCATAGAGACATGCTGCAAAGTGCAGCACAACCCTCGTGCCTCCCGTGCCCCGGTTGTGCTGGGCTTTGCTATCCCATCTCTGCAGCCTGTGCCTCAGCACAGGGGGTATCCATAGTGCACAAAGGTGTCCAACGCTGCCAACCATAACCTCTGCCCGCTGCACAGCCACAGTGCACCTCTGCCCGTGCCACCCAGCACCCCTGGTGCTCATTTGAGGGTTGTAGGGTAGGAAATCGCAGCCACAAAGCAGATTTGAGACTGGTGCGCGCTGCACTCTGTGTGCGCGTATTGGGAGGCAATTGGTGTATAAAGACTTCTATTAACCTGAAGGAACAGCTTCAGTCTGATTTTATTCCCCTTCCAAGAGCTCCCAGTGCCTTTCTCTTTGCTGAAAGATTGGTTCCAAGAAGTTTCAAGCTTATATTTTTATTATATAATTATATATAAAGATATATTATTATAATTATTATAAATATCTTTATATATAACTATATATCTCTATATAATATATCTTTATATATAATTAATATTATTATAATAATTATAATTATTATAAATAATATATTATATATATTGTTATATAGTTTTCATTCGTTTCAGTCTTCCTAACAGTATGTGCCCTGGAAATGGGAGGAAAAGGGAATCTCCATTCCATGGTAAATCCCCACGTTTTGGCGCGGCAGCCATTGCAAAGCGCTTTGAAAGCCAAAGCTCAGATTCTTTATAGATGGGCGGAAATTTGCAGGATGTGGGAGATTTCCATTTGGAACACTGAAGAAAAAAAAGAAGTCCAAAATTGTTAAATTGCTTTAGAGCAGGGCAGCAGAAAAGTTATTTTCAATAATATGGAGATAGTGATAGACTAAAATATTTACACTATTACACGCTGTGTTGCATTGGTGAAAAATATCAGAGCAGGTATTTTATATGACACCAGCAGCTGAAGTTAAATAATAAAATATGAAATATCTCTGCTTTATGGAAAGAAAATCGCACGAGCAGAAATTGCCACATTTGAGGCTTGGCCAGGGGGTGACAAAATCGGATTTTCTGCCCGAAAATGGCACTTGGAATGCCGCTGCTGGGGTCTGCTTGCTCCCAAGCGATGGCTCTGGCTCAGCTCTGTCCACCATCAGTGAGGTGGGTGACCCTTCTCCCCATCGCAGCACAGACCCCACGGCCTGCGGGTGGGCTTGGTGGTACCTCGGTAGGGATCATGGTGCGGCAGGGAAGGGGGACCAGGGGACATCTCCTGCAGCATTTCAGGGCTTATCAGGATGGCCGAGGCAGACAGCAGGTGATGGGGATAGGATGATGTACAGGGACTACACCGAAGGATGCAGTGATGACACAGGGGTGCTCGTCCTTTCCCTGCGCCATGGGTCAGTGATGGAGACGTTTCGTTCCTCCCTACAGCAGGGATGGCATGTGGGAGAGCACCAGGATCCTTGGGAAAACCCAGCAGCTGAAACAGGAGCCAGAGGAAGGGTTTGTGGCGATCTCCCCTGCTAATCTCTCGGCTGTAATCTCATTAATTGCCCCTCTGCTCAAACAGAAAAAGAGGTAAAAGCTCATCTCCGCATTTATTCAGCGCTACTTTTGTACCCCTTCAATGCCGAAGTCAGGGCTGCGAGAGAAGGAAAGCTCTGAAAGGGAGAGGAAATAGCTTTTTTCCATTGTAAAAAGGCTGTGAGGATGCCGTGTTCCTCTGTAAGAATAGGAAACAAGAGGTTTTAGGTACACAGACTTTTGGTGATGGGGGCATGGGGAAGTGTTAGTTTAAACCAGAGCTGATTTGGGCTATGTTTGCAGGGAAACAAAATCATTTTGGGGTGTGTAATATCTTTATTACTCCCCAAATGCTGCTATAAAGCAAACACTTGCAGGATTTTAGGATCATGGGGGAATGTTTCTGGTCTTTCTTTCTCATCTTCATTTCCATCTGCCTCATATTAACAGCTTCTTATAGTAAAACTTCTGGAAAATCTAACCCAAAAGATCTCAGACAAATAACAGAACAGGGCACAAATTGCACTCACTCTGTGGGCTTTTTATTCACTCTCCCTGGATTCTTGCTTTCAGAAATAGTGAGGGATTTATTTCCAGTGAAAAGAAATGGGCACCATTTTGGTGACGGTGGAAGCCGATCTGACGGATCCAAATTTAAGTATAACTGAAAACCCAGTGAATTACTACAGGGACAAAGGAATTCCCTATTTATTGTTTTTTTTTAAACTGCTGAGAAATAGTTAGGAAAAAAATATTTTACCCAAAAGAAAAGCACAAAACCCAAACCCAACAAAAAATCACAAACCCCAGCCCTAAAAGAGGCTCAATTAGGGAGGGAGGTTGAGCTGCTCGTCCCATGCATTTCTGTGTGGTCGGCACTTGTGGGTCCTGGTGGGTGATGCTCTGCGAGTGCCGATTTCATCAAGACACCCCGACACCTCGGCTCATTGTTTCGGCTGGGTCCTGTGTTTTGTGCCTCCCTGCTCGCCTCCCTGGCAGCCTACAGTGCTGCCTTTATCTCCAGGGGTAAATCCGTTCATGTGATAACTCCATTCGTACCCTGACAGGTTTTGATAGTTCGGTGTCCTCACCCCAGCGTGTTTGTGTGAGCAACACTCAAAATTATCCCTCTGTCCCCCAGAAATGGTTAACCCCTGAGCGGAGGGATCACGCAGCCGTGTTTCCTTCAGCAAGAAACAAAAATCCCCATGTCCTGCCTGGGTAGGTGTGTGGTCATAAATAACAGCATAAAGGACCTAAGTCCTTTACGGATCAGGTCCAGCCACACCAATAAAGCCTAATGAACGGTGCTTGGCCCAGGGATACCGTCGAGAAAGCTATTCAATATTTATCTGAAGACACGGGCAAAGGCAGACCCATCCCTGCCTTCCCTAATCCGTTCCAATGGCTCATCAGCCTCAGCCTTAAAAAATCGGACCCCTCTTTTCCCTGATATAAATTCCCCTGGTTCACCTTCCAGCCATTTGTTCTTGTTAGGCATTTCTTGCTAGATTAAAAACCCCGTATTCTAATGCTATGAAAGCATGCTGGGTGCAAGCGGGTGCAAAATTGGGCTTTGCAGTTACCCTTCTCACACGTTTTTAGTTCCATCCCTGGTGTCATGGCTGTGCCTGTGGTACCTTCTGCCCTAT